TTCGCTGGAGATCCAGACCAGAACTTGGCTGGAGATCCTGGCTAGAGATCCTGGCTAGGCTGCTGATCAACTGAACGCTGTCTCCGTGTCCTTCCTTCTTCGCCGACTCCGTCCACACCTTTGGGGACCCCTGGACCTGCTGGGGTTGGACCCCGGCAATTGGGGGCCCATTACAAAGTTCCACTGTGCTTGGTAAGAGAGATGCCCACTGTGACAAGGGTGCCTTTCTATGGCGGTGTAAATTGCATGGCCATCCAGGCTGTGGCATTAGCCTATGAATGAGAGTAAGGAGGAACAGCTACAGAGATAGGTGGAAATCCAGGTGAGGTTGTGGGAGACAAGGGGGAGGACTTCAATAAGAAGAGAGGAGACAAGTAGACCGGAGGTTGAAAAGAGGACTGAAAGTTCTTCATTGATCTAGTGAGAACAAAGGGAGCTGTTGGTAGAGTGATAGTAGCAAAAGCCATTTGGGAGGAGAGGAAATGGTGGCAGAAGTTAGAGACATTTTTTTTTTTTTTTTTTTTTGACCTAACGGGGTCACTTGTTTTTAGCAAGACTTGAGGCTGATTCCTCCTGGGCCTATATTGATTTCAGACATTTGGCTACCTGTAAGTAGCTGACCTCGATTGGTAAGAAAGGCCCAACTCTTAAGAGCCTGTGGGGAAAGAAACAAAATGCTATTCGTTTTAGAGACATTTTTTAAAAAATATTTGTTATTTATTTCAGAGAGGAAGGGAGAGGGAGAGAGAGAAACATCAATGATGAGCAAGAGTCATTGATGGGCTGCCTCCTGCATGCCCCGCACTGGGAATTGAGCCCATAACCTGAGTATGTACGTTGGCCTGGAATTGAGCTGTGAACTTCTGGTTCATGGGTTGATGCTCAACCACTGAGCCATGCCGGCAGGCTCTATTGTTCTTAATGTAGTAGATTGTGTTGATTGATTTTGTATGTTAAACCAATCTTGCATTCCCAGGATAAACAGCATCTTGTCATAATGTATCACCCTTTTCATGTGTTGATGGGTTTGATTTACTAATATTTTGTTAAGAATTTTTGTGAATATGTTTATGAAGAGTATTGGTCTATAGTTTTCTTGTAATAATTTTGCCTAGATTTATTATGAGGATGATACTGGCTTCAAGAGATCAGTTGGGAAATTTCTTTGTTCTCCATTTTCTTAAAGCATTAATATAAGGTTGCTATTATTTCTTTTTTGAGTGTTTGATATAATTCACCAGTAAAGCTCTATAAGGCTGGAGCTTTCTATATGTGAAGTTTTAACTAGAAGCTTTTTTCTTAACAGATATAGGACTATTCAGATATTCTCTTTTGCCTTTCAGTTTTGTAATTCGCATCTTTAAGCAAGTTGTCCATTTCATCTAAGCCATCAAATGTATTGGCATTTGTTCATAGCATCTAGTTATTATTATTTTTATTGTAGAATAATAGACATCATTTTATTTCTGATTGGTAATTGGTGTCTCATTTTTTTTTTTTTTAATGAAGTTGGGAGCTTGTCTCAGTTCCGATGCCTCTGTACTAGCACCCAGAATTTCCTTTCATCTCTCTATCGCTTCCTGACTCCCTGATCTCAATCAAATTCAGCAGTGTAGACTTGTGTCTGAAATCCCCCATTGATTCCCATGTGCTGGAGTTGGGGCACACCACAAAAGCACCTTGTCAGGGCAGTTTGAGAATTCAGCAGTGCAAGGTCCCTAGAGAAATAAATGGCAAGAGAGTGCCACCCTACTCCACTGGGGTACCCTGCTGTCTGTGAAGGATGGATGATACTTCTGAAGAGTCAACTGGTGTATCCCACTCCTTCCTCATGCTGCCTTCACTGAGCCTCTTTTACTAGCCTGCCTTTCCTTCCCGATCAGGCAGATGGATACAGGTTACTATGTTCGTTTGGGTTCTGACCAGAGGACACCCAGACAGAAGGACTTGGGGGCAGGCAGTTTATCTGGGAAGTGATCTCAGGGTGCTCAAGAGGACGTGAAATAGGAAAGTGAGAAAAGGCCACGGGGGTGGGCAACTGGGGCTCAAGCTCACTAGGCACCTTCTCAGAGACACTGTGGAACTCACCTCGGAGCTGACCCAGCAGAAGTCAGGGAGGCTGGGGTAGTGTTAGAGGGTCGCCCTGTGACAGTAACTCCCCCAGACTTCAGAGTGAGCTTAACAACATTCAACAAGCTCCCAGGGACTGGAGAAAGCCACCAAGCAGTAAAGAGAAATGCACGTGTTTGAGGAGACAGACGTCTGCAAGTACAGGCTTGTCTACCACAGCTTCAAGTGAAGTCAGGTGGAGCTGGGCCTAGGAGGAGATGGGCAGGACTTCTATGATCTCAGAGGCAAATTCATGTTAGAATCAGAGATAAAAAAACCCCACAGTTTTTGACATTTACCATTTAAGCATCTAAGGTTTGGATGCCAGACAGTAAAAGGTTTGGAAAGGCATCTGATGCTAATCTCTCCCTCACCCCCACCTCCAGATTAGATAGAGATTCTACGGGTCGGAGGAAGGCAGCGGGAGGGGAGGGAGCACGTGGACAATATTGAGATGTCTCTGTACACAGCATTCCCTAGGGAGTTCTGTGGGAGTTAAGTAACGGCCAAGAAACTGATTGTGTCCCAGTGAGGATAAATTGCCCATCACTCATCGCCTCCTCCTCTTTGGACGGGTTTCCACGACACCCATATACTCTCCACAGGCAAGAGGGCGTCTTTCTCTAAGACATTGTAAGACCCACCCAACTCATGTGGGTGCCGCTCTTTTAGAAGGCCTGGAACTTTAAATCTGTAGAATGGGAGCGTGGTGGGATACGTGTCCCGGGTCACATGGGAGGGTGATGAGAAGGGTCTCTGCCCCATAACCTGCACATGCCCCCCATCTCCTCAGCTCTCAGAGGCAGTTATCCCTTTCAGAAGAAGTCCCACCCCCTGACCCAGAGCGGTGGGCACAGACCAAGAGCCAGGTCTTACTCCTGCAGCCCTCAGAGCACAAGGAGGGAAACGGCTGCTCTGGATCACCTCTGGGGGCCTCTTCTGAGCCTCTCCACCATGAGGCTCTTAGCGACTCCTCCTGGGAGAGCCCGGTGGTGTGAGCTCTCAGTCGGATGGAGCAGGAAGAGAGGCGATGCTGGTCAGGCCAAAACGACGGGTGGCATGGGCCTGAGAGGCCTCGGGCCATGGTCATGGAGCAGAGCCGCAGGAGGCGTCTGACGCTCCAGGACCCTGGACCCCACTCTGAGCATTAGACCCAACCTGTAGGGTATTTACTTGAAGGCAGCAGAATCTGCAACTGGGGGGCTGGCATGCGGGTAAACTGAGGCACAAGAAGTGACCAGGTTCAGCACTGGTACCTTGACCCTTTGCTCTTTCTCTCCTCACAGGAGCCGCTTCTCACCCACCGAAGAGGCCCTGGAGAGGGGAGGTACAACCATTTTATAGGTTGGAACCAGAGGCCCAGGGAGGGACTGCGATATGTGTACAGCCACGAGGTGAGCTCCCCGAGCCTGTCTCCCCCGCAGAGGACGGGCAGGAGTGGGTGCAGCACATTCCGCTGCCCAGGAGCTCTGTGGTCTTTGGCAGACACATTACATCTCTGAGCCCCAGCTTCCTCACTTGTAAGACTATGATGATTACTCCCATCTCTGAGGGCTGCTGAGAGGCTAAAATCTGGTAGATAGTGCATGACAGATAGTGGATCCTGGTCCACAGACGTGAGAAGCTGTTCTAGTTATCACCCCCCTCTCCCCATACATTGAATTCAGTGGAGGAACGACATCTGACAGCACTCAAATCCAGCTGCAGTTGCAAGTCACACGAGTGGTTCCCACTGTGCTGCCCGCTCCCCAAAGCCCAGTCTCCAAGGAGCAAGCACTCTCGCTTGAATTCCAAAGCTTTTATTGCTGGAATCCTTTAGTCAGACACTTGGACATGGCGGTTGCAGAGACTCCTTAATGATCAGGCAAGCAGCTTCCTTGGGGCTCCTGGCAAGGATGGCTCCATTAACATAAAGGACTTGAGAATATTTTATTCTGCAAAGAGAAAGTCAGGAAACCTGGTGACCTCAGGGGTAGAAGACACCAAGCTGCATGGGACACGCCCTGGGCCCTCTGAGGAGGGCCTGCAGGCCTGTTTGAAGGGTGACCCCTGGATCTGAGCAGGTAAAAGTGGGTTCCTCTCTATCTCCTGCCCCACAAGAGAATCCCAGGATGTGCCTGGAAGCTTCCGCCGATGGAACAGAGAGAGGAGGAAGGGTCACCGTGGTGAGATGGAGGGCCGTCTTGGGTAGAGCAGGAAGAGGCTGCTGAGGAGGACCTGGTGGGTCCAAGTGCACCTGGGAGTCTTCAGGAATGAGGAGCCCAGTCTCCTTTGTCCTCCTGTCCTGTGGACACTTGCAGCTAAAGTAGTGGCGTTTCCATCATCATTTGGGGCAACCTGAAGTTGGGAGGTTGGAAGGGGGCTTTTGGAAGGTGCCTCCTCTCCTGGCATTTGAGGTGCAGAATGGCCCTCTGGGGTCCAGAGAACAAGGCAAATGAGGGCTTTAGTGGGAATGGAGTCGGGGACTTGAGGAGTTAAGGTGAAGGATGCAGTGCTAATGGTTTGAAGACCCAGGCTGGTGAGCTGGAGAGGCTGAGTCAGGGCCTGACACCGAGGCCAGGGGGTGTCATGCAGTCAGGAGGGCCTGGAGGGTGTTAGGCTGTGGCCCGGCAGATGCGAGCGGTCAGGGCCAGCCCAAGGGCTCAAGGGCTAGACTGAGCCTTCCCAGCTGGCCCTTCCCTACACCTTTGGTGCCCGCCCATCCTCTCCACCTCCTCATTCAGGGAGCTCTTTTTCCTCCTTGATTCTCAGGGAAGGGCTATATGGAGAGGAGAGACCTGAGCAGACCCCAGACAGGCCTCACACACACACACACACACACACACACACTCACACACACACACACACACACACACTCACACACACACACACACACACACAGCCAGACCCACCAGCACGGTGACGGCATGCTCCTTATCCTCTTCTGTCAATTTCTGATCAATGCAGTCCTTCAGTTTCCTGGAATTGGCCAATATTAAAGAGTTGTTTTGGTATTTTTCCACTTGTGCAACATATTCTTCTGGGGTTCCCGTCAGAAATATGATAACATCTTTTTTCATGGCTGGGCAAATGTCACAATCTGAAACATAAAGCAAGCTGACACTCTCCTGAAAGACACTCATGAAAACACACTCTTCCCCTACCCCTCCCCCCCCCCCCCCACATGCTTAGGACTGCCCGGGAGGCCTTAAAACCCCGGAGAATTCATGTCCCCAGGAACACACTTCCGCTGGAGATCAGGAGCGAGGCAGCCCAGAGCAGCGCGAGGGCACCGGTCCCCATCATGGTGCAGTTGGCAGGTGCTCCCTACCTACCCTGGAGCCCTTTTATACTTGCTGTTGGCCCCACAAAGCGGGGCGGGGATGGAAGGGGCCTGTATCTGATGCCTCCTTTACCAGGAGGTTCTGCCAACGCCATTCCCAGGCCATAGCTTGGAATTCCCTGGGGCTGTGGAGGTGGGAAGTGTATACTTTGGCGAAATCCTAAGTCACCGAGTCAACAAAGGGCACTGGCTCAGCCTCCTTTTCCCCACTCCAGGCCTGTCTGAGGTCAGCTGACACTAAAAACTTAAGAACTGAAATTTCTTAGGTTGACTAGGAAAAGGGGCAAAAAGGTCCCCAAATCAGGCCTCCCGAGGGATGCCCAGTGTCAGCCTGTCACAACTGCCCATGTCCTTGACAGCAGTCTGGTCCTCACTAAGGATTTCTCAGGAAGCTCAGTGCTTAGCTGGCTTCACAGCTAGTACCGGCCAAGGGAAGGCCAGAGCACAGGCCCCTGGTCAGGCTTTCTGGTGACTGCTGCCTCCCCTGCTCTCGTCACAATGTCCTTGACATGCTCAGTGGCCCCCCTTGGGCCAGTCCCCTGAATCTGTTTCTGAGCCCTGAATCCTCCCCTACATGCTGGCCCAGAAGTCCTAGTTGTCTGTAGACCAAGTCTGCCACCTGCTTACTTTGATAGCACCTCAATCTGACAGAAATTTCATTTCCCCTCCAAGCTGCTTCTTTTGAGTTTCTCTGTATCGCTCACATATCATTTCTCTAGTCTAGAGCTACAACCCAAGGAAAAGCCACGCCCGCTGTGGCCCACAACCCCTGTGCGATTTGTACACTTGCCCCCTCTTCCCTGCCCTGCTGTCTCTCTAAATGTATCTCTATGCTTCTCTCCTCCCTCACCGCCCCCATTCTGCTTCTGGGCCTTATCAAGTGTCCTGCAGAGGCCCTTTGCAGGGGCCGCCCTCGCTGCCTGCAAAGCTTTCTCCAAGTGCAGCACGATTCATGGCCCAATTACTCAGGTCGCTGCAACTGTCACCTTATCAGAGAGACTCTCCCACACTCTTGGCCCCTTCTATAAAAGGGGACCCTCTACCATAGCACTCTGTTCTCCCCGACTTATCTTCCTCCATAGCACTTCTTGTCATTATGGCTTGTCCTCCACTCCCCCTTAGATGTCTGATGAGCACCAAGAATGTGAGGGCGTTGCTGCGTGTGCTGCCACATCTGTAAGACTGGGACCTGAGCTGACACACAGTAGGTGCTTCACCAATGTTTATTAGATGAATGGAAGGGATATCTCATGTCTCTGGAATCTATATCAATAGGAACACTTCACTTATATTTGCTATATATGTGCTTATGAACATTGCCTGGGATTAATTAAATAAGATAAAGGTTTGAAATGTTTTGATAAGTCAGAATTAAGGAGCTTTTTGCTGGAATAAGCTTTGCTGAAGCCCAGAGTTAAAGACAGGACATGTTTCTGACCCCAGTCAGAACCCTATGCCAAACAGGATTCATATCCGGTAACTGCTCTTGGCAAAGAGGCACCAAGTACTGAGCTCCAGCTGTGGATTGGCTCCCACAGAGCCTTTCCTTGCCATGGCTACCGATGCCCAGGGCCTGTCCCTCTGAAGATCACCCCATGAGGGCTCAGGTCACTGATGTTCTTCGGAGGCTCCTGGGCACCTGTTAGCTGAGAAAGTAAACACGGCATGCCCTCGGCTCTTTCTCTACCCAGAGCAGTTTCCGCGTGGTGGGACACCTGGGCGAGAGCCACATGTCCGGTCCTGCACAGGGAGTTCCTGCAGTCCTCCCCACAGCTCTGCGAGCTGATGTCGTCCAGCCCCAGGGGGGGTGCCACAAGGCCCTCTGAGACATCTCCAGATGGTGGGGACACTTGTTTCCTGTCATGGCCTTGGCTGCCATGAGGCGCACTGGCCAGGTAGTGTGGAGTGGCTCCGGAGCTGAGTTTGTCTGCTGCTCTCCTCATAATGTAGACCGGGGTTTGGACTTTGGGTTCTTGGGAAGCCAGCACAGAGGTGGCGCGCCGTGCTTGTCACCTCCGGGCATCCGTAGTATCAATGTCCTATCACTGGTTATTTTAGCCTTGGTCACTTGATAATGTCATTTTCTGCACTGTTTCCCCCTTTCCCTACTCTTTCTATGGGAATGAGTTACTCAGTCTGGCCCCTCTTAAGGGGGTGAGGGTGGTGCGTGCCACCTCCTGGGCGTGGGTCTGTGGATTGCTTGGAGTCTTCTCTAAGGAGCATTTCTCTTCCCCCCCATTGCTTTATTTATTCAATCTTTTACATCAGGGTGGACTCGCATCTATTACTTTATACTTTGGACTATAATTTAATACTGTTATTTTTTTGTTCAAATTGTTCCAGATTTGGCCATTGGGAGCTTTCTCAGGTTTCTTTCTGCTGAGTTTTCATGAACTGTCTCAACTTGTTAATGCCAACAAACGATTTTCCTAAAGTGGAAGGCTCAGTTTAACCTTGAGAGTTTGAGCAGATTGAGTGCCACTTCTGGTTGCCTGGAGAAGTCTAGCCCACAGTGGCCTGTAGGGCTGTGGACACCTCTGTCTGTCTGACAGAGACAAACTGCACAACCCACACCTGCGCACTCATGTTTCTGGATGTGCTGTGCAGTCAGCCCCTCTTAGGGCAGGTTTACTGCTGGAGGAAGAGACAGCGAGGCGAAGCAACAAGGCTGGGGCCACTGGGAGTCAAGGAGGTGCCAAGGAATCTGCCCCCTTAAGGGTGAGAGGGAAACTGGTGGTGGGATCTAAAAATGGAGCATTACCAGCCCTGAGAAAACCTATGTGGCCACAAGTCCTGCAACTTCCCTGATAGTGAGTGACTCAGAGCTCAAGGACGGTGGCCATCCCTTCTTGGGGCCCCATTCAGCGACTGCAGCAGATACGATGTTTAAGGGGCTCCATTCAGGCCCAGCTCCCCATACTCACCTCAAGAAATTAAACCTGCCCGTCCGTTTTCCGGGTGATTCCTTGTTTAGCTATGGTGGCACAGACCCGCCTTGACCCCTCCTGTGATTTCTGTCTCTACATTTTGGGAGAGTGTAGCATTTGGAGCCAGAATAGTGTGGGGGAAGGATGACCAGGAGATGTGACAGTTGGCGCTGGACAACAGAGCAGTTGGCTCAGAGTGAAGTAATTTGGAAATGTCAGCTCCAGTTGGTTTTTGGCAAAGGTAAAACCACATCATCTCCAGATTTGCTCTCAGTTTGCTTCCCACATTTAACACCCTGATGGCGGAGGGGCCACGTGTGCCAGCTCCTGCCCACAGGCTGTTGGAGCTCCTGGGGTGTGGGATGGGCTTAAGGAACTTGTTTATAAAGTAGCAGAAACCCTGCCCTGGGCAGAGCATTCCGGCAGCTGACATGATGAAGGGGACACTGCTTGTGCTGGCCTTGCTGGTGACCAGAGAGCTGGGCACCCAGATGGGTAAGAATAGGAAGGAGGGAAGAAATGGCCTTCTTGACCTTGGCCTTACTCTGTCTCACTCCCTCCCCCCATGATCTCTGCGCAGCTTCTAGCAAGAAATTTAGGGGTCAGCTGGGAGATCACTGCCCATGAGTCCTGCAGAAAGCCCCCGAGGTTTTCAGTCTTTCAATGGAGGGAGAGGTTTGAAGATGGAGGGGTCATCAGTTATGCACACATAGGGGGAGTTGGTTGGGGTAGTGGTGCTTATTTGAAGGGCTGGGATGTCTGGGGCCATGGTCAGGGGCAGAGGGGTTCTAGTCCTAGCCTCTCTTACTGCTCCTTTCAGCTGGGAGTGCCTCTTAGAGAATGTTTGCTCTGTCTGGGGTGTAAGCGGTCCTGGGAGAGGGCAGGTGTCCGTGGAAGGTGCGTCAGGACACACTGGCTATGTGATTACTTCCAAGTGGTGGGGAAACAGGAACCTCTTACCCTAGTGATTCCTTTGATGGGGTGTTTTTGTCTCTTGCCTTCAGCGGAATCTTGCCCTATTCTTTATGGAGTCTTTGGTACGTTCGCTATTGGAAGCAAATCACTGTTGGATGCCAGCCTCGATCTGGTCCACGCTACCCAACCAGAAAAAGTAGCCTTAGAAAAAATCCAGGATTGCTACAATGAGGCGGGAATCAAATCCAAGATCTTGGATCTGATCTTCATGGTAATTTACTTTCCTCCCCCAACCCTCGCTCTGGCGACATACGTGCAGCATATTGCAAAATGCCACATACAAATAGACCATGACATCATGGGGTACATGAGAGATAAGAGCTATAAACAGTCAAGCTCATAAATCTTAGCTCCACTCTACAGCATGTATAACATACAACCACATGTTACATGCACATCCAACCTGTTCTTCTATCATGCATGTCCCTATTATGTCGATTAGCTCACACTGGAAAATAGGGGACTGATGCCAGTGTAACATAGAGAGTGTGTTGGCTCATGTGATTTTCCCCCAGATTAAGGGAGCTAACATTGCAGGAGAATTTTAACCTTTGGCAGGAGAGACTTCAGCTCCTGTACAAGTAGGAGTCCTGCTGCTCTATTTTAGAAAATTTAAAAACGACCACTGCCCTGGCCAGTGTGCTCAGTGGTTAGAGTGCCAGCCTATGCATGGAGAGTTGTGGGTCCAATTCCCAGCCAACAGCATGTACCTGGGTTACAGGTTTAATCCCCAGCATCAGTCAGGGGCGTGTGGGAGGCAATCAATCTCGATGTGACATATCAATGCCTTTCTCTCTCTCTCTCTCTCTCTCTCTCTCTCTCTCTCTCTCTCTCTCTCTCTCTCTCATCCTCCCCCCACACCTTGCCATCTTCCATTCTCTCTAAAAAATCAATGGAAAAAATATCCTTGGGTGAGGATTAACAAGAGAACAAAAACAAAAAACGAGCACCACTTTTAGACTCTTCCCAGAAGGGACTTGCTGGCTTTGCAAGGCTTCTGGCTTTCGGTCTGTTTCACTTCCTCTTGTGTCCACCTTGATGGCTCTTCTTCCGGCTCCGAGCCCCACTTCCACCTGCATTGTCGCAGTGTCCACAGCCAGAATTTCCACTATGTCATGGTAGTGCCCAAGGCCCCTGAGGCAACTTCTACTTATGTGTAGCTGCTCACAGATACATCTCCTGATGAACTGTCTTTGTTACTGCTCTTTTTACAGTTACATAGATTTTGAACAATCTGTCTCTTACTCTATTTCCCCCAAAGTGTTGACTCTGCAAAATAAGGTTTTTCAAGAACTTCTTGCATTAATGTAGGCACACAGGGCACATGAGATTGTTTACGACACATGCATAAACATTCACCCGGTGCACCTAACAGACGAGTCTTAGGTACAGGAGAGACCACAGAATACCTGTGCGTGGGCAATTAGGGGCATCCTCATCCTGGCCTGACTGATCACAGCCCCTCTCCGGTGGTGGCCTGTGGTTCTTGCTGGAGATGGAGCTGAATCACCGAGGATGAGGAGTGGGGTGATCTGGGGAGATAGGATAGCCCTGCCGGAGGCTCAAGTCCTCTTCTCTTGTTATCGCCCTCTCTTTAGGGCACTATCACCACCAGCAAGGAATGCATCCAATACACAGTGGACATGATAAAAAAGGATGTCACTGAACTTCTAAACTGAACTGTTTCTCTGAGCTCCGTCTTCCTGCCATTCTCACCTGAAGCTGGAATCCAGACACCTGTCCCCACGCTGTCTTCATCAGGCTGACTCTAATAAAGTAACTGCAGCTCAGATCTGTGTGCTGCGTCTGTGCTGTGCAGGGAGTACGTGAGGCCTGGCAGGGGATGCTGGGAGGTGGTGAGGCGTGACGTATGGTGAAAGCATGCAGACTGGAGTCAGGCAGAACCAGGATGAGCTTAGGCCCTGTCGCTGACAAGCTCTAGGACCTTGGACAAGTTGCTCTGTCTTTCTCAAGCTATCCCCTCATCCATAAATGGGCATTGTGTATGTGGATGAAGTTAAATAACAAATGTAATCCCAGACTTGACTAGCCTGGAAGGACAAAAATGTTGTCAACAGCTACAGATGCATCTCTCTGACTCTGGCTTTTATTCAAACATTCATTTCACTCTTCCCCATGAAAGAGCTTGAATGGAGATTTCTCTCAGTGCTTATCAAATAGGTTTGAGGTAGAGGCGATGCAGGTAAACTGAAACTGTTGACCCTATCCTCCTCCAATCATCTTTTCTCATTTCTATGCTCCACCTGAGTAATGGAATCTTTCACCTGGATATCAGAGCTTTGGAGAAGGCATTTTGTGTAGGTGGATCACTGTCAAATTGAAGTTTCTGAGAGAATGAAGACTAGACCCTTCTATTCCACTGTCTAGCTGATGTCGCATGTACGTCTTAGTCTTTTTTAAAATATATTTTTATTGATTTCAGAGAGAGGGAGAGAAATATCAATAATGAGAATCATTGATCAGCTGCCTCCTGCACACCCCCTACTGGGGATCGAGCCTGCAACCCAAGCATATGCCCTTGACCAGAATTGAACCTGAGACCCTTCAGTCCAGAGGCTGGCATTCTAACCACTGAGCCAAACCAACTAGGGCTGTCTAGCTTAGTCTTTTTATGTCCTAAGCTAAATGGAAGAAAATGATTCATTCTATGTGTTCCTCCTGGCATCCAAATGATGCAGATTCCCGGAAAGGCATCATTTGTAGATGAAAACAAAGAAGATCAAAGAAATAACCTAATTGCTTAAATGGACAAAAATGGTATCACCTGATCTAAGTTGGGAATTCAGGTTTGATTGCCTCTGGCATCTGTGCTGTTTAATCACAAAGCTTCAAAAATTGTTCCTCAGGGTCTTGGATCCAGGCATGACAGTGGTAACAATACCAATAATAAGGAGCCACATCAGCAGGGATCATAACTGCCAACCTACACCTACTCAGGGAGGACAGATTCTGTTCTCATTTATGTCATACAGGAAGCCATTTGTTGGGTCCGAGCCCCTCTGCTAGGGATGGGACCTCCTTGGAAGCTGGGAACTGGGAGATGAGAGCAGCCACAGGTAGATGGGACATGCTTTATTGCAAAGCAGCCAGCCACCCGCTGTTCAGGAGCACATTTTATACTAACTCAGACAAAAGAGGTTTCTTGCTAAAATAGTGACATCAGTGTCACATGATACATAGGAACACTGCACAGTGCATACAGTAAAACTGCTGTCATTGCCTTTGCACGTATGGCAAACAGGCCTTTAACATCCCGCGTACTCTGGGTAGGGTCCCCACACCATTTACTCTCCTAACAGCCCTGTGAAGTACGCACTAAATTACCCATTTTACCAATGTGGAAACTAAAGTAGAGGCAGATCTCGTAACTTGCCTACAGGGTTGGGATTCACACTGAGTTATGGCTCCAGAGCTGTACAATAAGCATTAGGTACCTCACAGCCCTGTCAGAAGCCAGCGGCTGTGGAGGAAACAGGCTGTGGAGGTGCAAGATGAATGAGAGGATTTAACCAAGGGAGCAGGAGAGCAAGGGAAAGGCTTTTTAAAAAAAATTTTGTTTTTGTGTTTTTTTATTGCTTTCAGAGAGGAAGGGAGAGGGAGAATTAGAAACATTAGTGATGAGAATCCATGATCAGCTGCCTCCAGCACATCCCCTCCTGGGGACTGAGCCTGCAACCTGGGCATGTGCCCTGACCAGGAATCAAACTGTGACCTGGTTCACTGAGCCACACCCGCCAGGCAGGAAAGGCGTTGTTTCTTTCATGGAGTAGTAAAAGACGCTGTTCCTTACAGTGAGAGCCCTATTATGCTGGATAAAGACGAGCACTAAGTGAAAGCCAGTCTACACTTACTGGCTCATCTCATGTGAATCTGTTGGTCTGTTGTGCGGTATGACTTGAGAATAAAAGCTTTCCTACACTTGATGCTCTCCAGTGAATCTTCATGTGTTGACTGAAATTACAGTAGTAGCAAGTCTTTCCCATAGACTTTGCATTTAAAGGGTTTTTTTTAATCCAGTGTGAGTCATATGAATACAAGATGAGTTTGGTCAAAGGCCTTTCAACATTTATTGCATTCATGGGGCTTCCCTCCAATGTGAACTTTCATGTGTTGACGCAAATTGTACTGGGAGCAAAAGGTTTTCCCACATTCTTTGCACTTAAAAGGTTTCTCGCCAGTATGGATCCAACTATGCTGGACAAAACCAGAGTGGAAGGAGAAAGATTTTCCACATGTAGTGCATTCATAGGGCTTCTCTCCTGTGTGAATCCGCTGGTGCTCTGTGAGGTGTGACTTGCGACGAAAAGCTTTCCCACATTCACTGCACTCATAGGGCTTCACTCCCGTGTGAATCTGCATATGTTGACCCAAATTAAACTTGTAGCAAAATGCTTTCCCACAGTCTTTGCATACAAAGGGTTTTTCTCCAGTGTGAGTTTTCTGATGCTTAATTAAATTAGATTGATGGATGGCCTTTCCACATTTATTGCACTCATAGGGCTTCTCTTTAGTGTGATTCTTCATGTGTTGCCTGAGAGTAGAACTGTTGCGAAAGGTTTTCCCACACTCTTTGCACTCAAAAGGCTGTTCTCCAGTGTGAATCTGTTGGTGCTGCATGAGGTCTGATGTACAGCTGAAGGTTTTCCTACACTGTGTGCACGCATAGGGCTTTGCTTTTGGATGAACATAGTCACGTGCAAGATCCCAATTCTTGGTGTTCCTGCATCCACTATATTCATAATGGTTCTTCCCAGTTTGATTCCTGGGGTCTTTTAGTCTGTGTGTATCACTGTTATGGAGAACACCTACTAGAGAGACTCGCTCCTGTAAAACCCTTGAGCGTAGACTATTATCTGACCCCAAATCATTGCATTTAGGGTTCATCTCTTTGTGGGGGTCTGTCACTGGCCTTAAGACTTCTTGCATTTCCGACAGCCCTTCCTGAGTTTTGGTTTTTCCAGCCCTGGAGTCCCTTGAAGCTCCCTGCCTCATCCATCCCCGAAGTGAGGCTCTCTCAGACAGGAGAAGCTGAGAAGTGGTAGTCTCTGATTTTTCTCTGGCTCCTGAAAAGAAATAATAACACAAGAATGACTTATTAGTGATGCCAACATAAAGAAACAAAATAACTACTTTTTTTTAAAATCAAAATTACTACTTTTATTAGAGAGAAAATGATGAAAACAATGTCTCTGTGCCTATTTTGTTTTCACATCTTTGAACCCCAGGTTTACAATTTGTTCTTTTCTCTTGCTTGAGCTCTTGTCATTTAAAAAAGGGAAACTAGGAGAAACCAAGATGGCGGCATAGGTAAACACCGGAGATTGCTGCCTCGCACAACCACTTCAAAAATACAACTAAAAGACGGAACGGACATCACCCAGAACCACAGGAAGGCTGGCTGAGGGGAAATTCTACAACTAGAAGGAAAGAGAAAAGCATACCGAGACTCAGAGGAGGCGCAGTGCGGAAGTAAAATACTAAGGTGCGGAGGTGCATGCAGAGAGGGTTGGCAGCTGAGGGCGCAGTTGTCTTTTTCAATCGGGAGGGAGTCTCAGGCTCTGAGCTCCAGTTCTGGGCGAGTCTCTAGGGACCCAGACTCATACGAGAGAAGCGGGACTGTCTGGCAGCCGTCGGAACTCGAGGGCAGCTTTCTCTCCAAGGGGCTTGCAGTGATTACCGGGACATTGAGAAGCAAAGTCTCTGAGGGCAAGACTGAGAGCAGCCATAACTGCTAGCCCCGCCCTGTTGATCCCATGGGACTTGCCCCGCCCAAGCCCTGCAGGGAGGCTTTTGCTGGATAGCCTCAGGCAAAGGCTAGATTAGCACCTCCCTAGAGATCCAGGAGCCAGGAAAACCCAGAGGTCAGACTGGGACCATCCAGTTTGAAGCCCCGTGGAAACATAAAGGACACACTCAGGGTGCAGACTCAGTGAGTACCAAAGCCCCATTGAAGCAAGTCTTGCCCCAGAAGAGTGTCTCCAGCACAGAAGTTCTCCCACTGCAGACACAGCTGATTCTCACAGCCAATTGGCCTGGAGGCCAATTCCTCCCAGTGATACCTACAACAATCAAGGCTTAACTACAACAAGACTGCACAAAGACCACAAGGGGGTGCACCAAGAGTGTCCTCCTCAGGTAATTGGGGAGGCTGAACCACTGGGCCCTAGAGGACACTTAGCACAGAAAACCACTGTATCAACACAGGGAAGCATAAAAAATGTGGAGACAAAGAAAAAGGACACAAATGACAGAAATGGAGGAAAGCAAACTACTGGATATAGAGTTCAAAACCACACTTTTAAGGTCTTTCAATAATTTTCTAGAAACTACCGATAAACTCAATGAGATCTACAAGAAATCTAATGAGACCCTTGAGGTTGTGATAAAGAACCAACTAGAAATTAAGCATACACTGACTGAAATAAAGAATATTATACAGACTCCCAACAGCAGACTAGAGGATTGCAAGAATCAAGTCAAAGATTTGAAATACGAAGAAGCAAAAAACACCCAACCGGAAAAGCAAAAATGAAAAAAGAATCCAAAAATATGAAGATAGCATAAGGAGCCTCTGGGACAGCTTCAAGCGCACCAACATCGAATTACAGGGGTGCCAGAAGAAGAGAGAGAGCAAGATACTGAAAACCTATTTGAAGAATAATGACAGAAAACTTCCCCTACCTGGTGAAAGAAATAGACTTCCAAGTCCAGGAAGCACAGAGAACCCCAAACAAAAGGAACCCAAAGAGGACCACACCAAGACACATCATAATTAAAATGCCAAGAGCAAAAGACAAAGAGAGAATCTTAAAAGCAGCAAGAGAAAGAAAGTCAGTTACCTACAAGGGAGTACCCATAAGAATGTCAGCTGATTTCTCAACAGAAACTTTGCAGGCCAGAAGGGAGTGGCAAGAAATATTCAAAGTGATGAATGCCAAGAACCTACAACCAAGATTACTTTATCCAGAAAAGCTATCATTCAGAATTGAAGGCCAGATAAAGAGCTTCACAGATAAGAAAAAGCTAAAGGAGTTCATCACCACCAAACCAGTATTATATGAAATGCTGAAAGGTATCCTTTAAGAAGAGGAAGAAGAAGAAAAAGGTAAAGATACAAATTTCGAACAGCAAATACACATCTATCAACAAGTGAATCTGAAAAAGCAAGTGAATAATCTGATGAACAGAATGAACTGGTGAATATAATAGAATCATGGGCATAGAAAGGGAATGGACTGACTATTCTTGATGGGGAAAGGGGTGTGGGGGATGCGGGAAGAGACTGGACAAAAATCGTGCACCTATGGATGAGGACAGTGGGTGGGGAGTGAGGGTGGAGGGTGGGGTGGGAACTGGGTGGAGGGGAGTTATGGGGGGAAAAAAGAGGAACAAATGTAATAATCTGAACAATAAAGATTTAATTAAAAAAAATAAAAAAGGGAAACTCAAGAGGGGGTGCTTGGGCACAGAACAGAGGATCTGGTGGTTGAACCCTCCTTACATTCCAGAGTCAAGGAGAGTGGACAGTATAAGGATGACATCACATACAGTAGGTTGGCTCTGAGAGGGAGCATCTCATCGTGGTGCTAGGACAGCACAAGCAGAGGCACCAATTTCCTTCCAGATGGGAGAGGGAAAGAGATCACAAGGGGTTTCCCAGGAGGTGTGCCAGCTGTTTCCTAATAGAGAGGCAGAAACCACCTGACAGAGGAAGTGGAAGGGGTGCTGTGAAGGAGAAAGAATGTACAAAGTCCGTTCTGAGTGAGACATGGATGTCTAGGGAAGCTCAGCACATGAGAGGCTGTTGGTGGTATGGAGCTAGAGACAGACAGAGGCAGAGGGCAGGCAGATGCCCAGGACTCTGACTTGGGTGCCAGTGAGCACAGTCACTGCTATCCCCTGACAAGGTTTCCAAGGCAGAAGTGAGCACAATCTGAGGGGACAGGTGGAGTCAGCTGTGCCAGAGAAACAGGCAAGTTAAAAGACACAAAACAGCTCGAAGAGGTCAATGGAGGAGAATGGGGGACATATGTAATACTTTCAAAAATAAAGATTAAAAAAAGACATAATCTGGATAGTGAACATTTTAAACACTTAATTAGAGGCATTATGAGAATGGAAATGTTAACAATATAAGTGTTCATTCTTCCTCAGTGAATCTATTAATTCCATAAGCCCTAGATAAATTCACAACAGCGTTTTTCAGAGAACTCAAAAAGATAATTCTAGATCTTATGTGGGAGAGTAAAGGGACACAATTATAGGGCCAGATGATTTACTGCTAAATTCTACAAAACATTTAAGGAAGAAATTATAACAAATATCTAATACCAATTCTATATAAGCTCTTCCAGAAAAAAAGAGGATGAAATACTCCCCATCTCATTTTATGAGGTCATCATTACCTTAATACTAAAACCAAAACCAGATATTATTAAAATTATAAACTAACATTTCTCAAGATCATAGACACAAAAATACAGAATGATATATTAACAAACTGAATCCCAAATGTAAAAAAGAATGGAAAGTCCATGCAGGAATAAAAGGCTGGTTCACCATTTAAAAATAAATCCATGTAACTGACCCTATTAAAAGACTTAGGGCCCTGGCTGGTGTGGGTCAGTTGGTTTAAGCATCCAGGCGAACACCAAAAGGTAGCTGTTTTGATTCCCGGTCAGGGTACAAACTCGGGTTGGGGAGTTTGATCCTGGGTTGGGAGTGTGTGGGAGGCAACTGATAGATGTTTCTCTCTCCTTCTCTTTTTCACTTCCTCTCTCTCCCTTTTCTCTGAAAAAACAAACAAAAAACTCTGGGTTCTGGATTCTTTAAAAAAAGACTAAAAAGGAAAACTATATGATCACATCAGCAGACAGAAAAATCAGTAAGTAAAACTCAACATCCAGTCATGATTTTAAAAAAGACTAAGTATAAATGTAATCATATGTGCAGAATTTATATGCTGAGAACTACAAAATGTTGGTGAAAAAAATCAGAGCATCCCATATAATAAAGAGGTAATATGCAAATTGACCCTCATGCCATCACAAAATGGCGATGTGCACAGTGGAGGTGGGCCAGCAGGGGCGGGGTCAGTGGCTGCTCCATGCAGCTTCTGCCGGGGTCCCTGCATCCCCGTGGGGATGTGGGGGTCCTGGTGGCCGCTTTGCGCAGCTTCTGCCAGGGTTTCCGCAGCCCCGTGTGCATGCCACGGGGGCTGGGCCTGGCAGCTGCTGCCCGCGGCCCAGAGGCGGGGCATTGGGGTGGCACTCCAGGACTTGGGGCCGTCCCGTGGTGTGCCGGCCATGTGGGGCAGGACTCCAGGACTCAGGGCAGTTCCATGGCATGGGGAGTGGGGGTGGAGTGATCCTGGGTCTCGCGCGATTTCGCGCGACAGGTCACTAGTATCTAAATAAATGGAAAGATATTCTATGGTCATGGGTTGGAGTATGCAGTACATGCTCAGTTGTTGAGTGTCGACCTAGTTTGATTCCTGATCAGGGCACATGGCTGGGTGGTGGGCTCAATCCCCAGTAGGGAGCGTAAAGGAGGTGGCCAATCAATGATTCTCTCTCATTATTGATGTTTCTATATCTTTCTACTTCTCCATTCTTCTCTGAAATCAATAAAAAAATATATATTTTAGAATCTTACTGGGATTACAGAACAAAGAAAAAAAAATTTTTAAAAAGATATCAACTCTCCCTAATTCTTTAGATTAAACACAATCCCAATAAAAATTTCATCAAGTTCCTTTTGAAGATATATAAAATGTATGTGAAAAGGCAAAGGCTATCGCATTGACAAAATAATTCAGAAAAAGAACAAAGTCAGAGAATATACCTTACCCAATTTAAAACCAACTATGAAGTTATAGTAATCAAAACTGTGGTGTTGGCAAAAGTAAATACACACATAGATCAGTGAAACGGAACAAAGAGCCTAGAAATATTACCCTCAAACATAGTAAACTCCTTTTTGAAAGATGCATAGTCAGTTCAATAGGGAGATAGTCTTTTCAACAAATGGCTCTGGATGTTCACACGGGGTAAAAAATATACCTTGACACACACCTCACATCTCATAGAAAAGATAACACAAAATGGATCATAGACTTAAATATAAAAACATAAAATTTTTAAAGAAACACAAAGGAGAAAATCTGTGAGACCAGTGTTTGGCAATGAATACTTTGATATGAAAAGAAAAACACAGCCGAAACCGGTTTGGCTCAGTGGCTAGAGCGTCGGCATGTGGACTGAAGGGTCCCAGATTCGATTCCGGTCAAGGGCATGTACCTGGGTTGCGGGCCCATCCCCAGTAGGAGATGTGCAGGAGGCAGCTGATCGATGTTTCTCTCTCATCGATGTTTCTAACTCTCTATCCCTCTCCCTTCCTCTCTGTAAAATATCAATAAAATATATTTTTTTAGCCATAACTGGTTTGGCTCAGTGGATAGAGCATCGGCCTGCGGACTGAAGGGTCCCAGGTTCGATTCTGGTCAAGGGCATGTACCTGGGTTGCGGGCACTTCCCCAGTAGGGGATGTGCAGGAGGCAGCTGATCGATGTTTCTCTCTCATCGATGTTTCTAACTCTCTATCCCTCTCCCTTCCTCTCTGTAAAAAATCAATAAAATATATTAAAAAAAAAATTATATATATATATATATTTAAAAAAAAAAAAAGAAAAGCACAATTGTTGAAAGGAAAAATTCAGCTTTAGTAGTAAATTGAGCTTTACCAAAATTAAAAATGTTTGCTCTATTGTTAAAAGAATGAAAATACATCCCTGGCTAATTTGGCTCAGTGGGTAGTGCATCAGCCTGTGGACTGAAGGGTCCCAGGTTTGATTCTGGTCAAGGGCATATGCCCAGGTTGCGGGCACGATCCCAGCAGGGGGCGGGCAGGAGGTAGCCGATTGAAGATTCTTTCTCATCATGGATGTTTCTATCTCTCTCTCCCTCTCCCATCCTCTCTGAAATCAATAAAAAATATATTTTTAAAAAAATAAATGAATGAAAATACAAGCCACAGATTGAAATAAAATATTTGCAAATCACAATAAAGGACTCATATCAAGAATAGAGAATACTTAGAGCTCAATATAAGAAAATAATAACAACAACAAAATGAGCAGAAGATCTGAACAGATAATTCACAAAAGAAAATATATGGATAAAAAGTGAGCATGTCATTGTCAATCACTTGTCATTAGAGAAAAAAATTAGAACCACAATGAGTTATCTCTACATATGTTAGAAATGGCTAACATTAAAAAAACACACACACATAAAAACCAAAAACCCTGGCAATACCAAATGCTGGTAAAGATATGGAATGAGGAATTCTCACTCATTACTGGTGGGAATGCCAAATGCTATAGCCATTTTGGAAGGCAATTTGTCAAGTTCCTAAAAAGTTCAAGCAATCCAATTCCTAAATGAACTGAAACCTTATGTTTACACAAAAACTTGTATGTGAATTATTACAGCAGACAGGACTGTGAATGGATAAACAAACTAGTACATACCCATATACTGTGATACTATTTGGAAACAAAAAAGAATGAACTGTGGATTCACTCAATGATGTGGGTGAATATTAAATGCACTTTGCAAGCCCCCACCGCCTGTGTCTGTCTCCATTGGGTGGGAATGGCTGGGGAGAGAGGGGGGGTCAATTGGGGAAAAGGGAGACATATGTAAAACTTTAGACAAAAATAAAAAATAAATAAAAATAAATTTTTCCCCAAAAATAAATAAATAAATGCATTTTGCAAGTGAAAAAGCCAGATTCAAAAGTGTTACAGATTCCATTCACATAACATTTGAAAAGAGGAAAACTATGGAGACAACACAGACTATATGCCAGTGAATGAGGAAGGGGAGAGTGGTTGACTATATAGGAGATGCCAAGGGTCATTTGTATATAACGAAACTATATTGTATTTTACTGGGCTGGACAGTACATGCCTCTATGCATTTTTCAAAACCCAAAGAACTGTACATCACAGTGAGTGAATATGAATGTGTTCAAATTAACAACAACAATAACACCCCAGGATGTCAGGGGATTCCAGAATGGAATGCAGACTGTGACAAATTAACTTGAGTGAATTGTAAAGGTGTGTATGGCATTACCTCAGTGAAGGAGGTGGGGGAAAAACAAGTACTTTTGGAAAATGGTGTTTTGACAGTACACTGTAAGGCTAAAGACAAAAATAACTACAGTTGACCCTTGAACATGGGGATGGGGAGATTTAGGGGTACCCACCACCCACCCAGTGGAAAATGCACATATAAATGAAATCATCTCTGCAAACGTGAATTCCCAATCACGGATTCAAAATATGTATGTAAATATTATACTCTAGTTAGTAATCTGTTTCCCAGGGAGACTACTTCACAAGTATAATGGAATTGAAAAAATAAGTTAATAAATGGTAGATAATGGAAGCCAGGTTTTCATGGTCACAGAAAGAAGTTGCAAATAAGCAAAGAAGGAAGGCTAGAATGAATCATGTCAAAGAACGAGGTTATTAAGAACAGAGTTCAACTATATGCAACCTCAAGAATGAATCTCAGAGACATACTAGAATATATAGTCGGGTTCCATTTACAATAATTCTAGAGCAGTCACAATGAACCTATGGTGACAATCTAGATAAGGTGACCTTTCCAGGACGGAGCAGCAGAGCCCCCTGACTTGCTGGAAGCACTGTGCGTGTCTGCCCTGGGTGGGGGCTGTTCGGGCTCGTATCTAGGTAAAAATCCATCAGTGAGCTCTAAGATATGTGCGTATTGCTGGATGCAGGTAAAAAACTAGAAGAAATAAGAGTAGTGGGGCTAAGGAAGTCAAGTGTAGGCAACTTTTCCAAGAATAAGACAACTCTAAGAGTTTGGTTGTACAAATGTATTAGTCAACGTTTAGAAACTGCCATGGAGCCAGGACTGTTTTGTGTGTTTTATTTTCCCCAAGCAAGCACCCTGAGCGTGGGTTTTTGTTTTGTTATGTTGAATAGAGGTAGATAAAAATAGAAAAGAGCCTGGCCAGTGTTGCTCAATGTTTGAGCATCAACCTATGAATCAGGTCAGGGTTTGATTCCTGGTCTGGGCACATGCCTGGGTTGCAGGCACGATCCCCAGTGTGGAGCATGAAGGAGGCAGCTGATCAATGATTCTCTCTCATTGATGTTTCTCTCTCTCCCTCCTGCTTCCTCACTGAAAAAAAAAAGAAAAAAGAAAGAAACAGAAAATAAGTGAAGAAGTGAGGTCCCAGGAAAGGCAGGAGATGTGAGTTAGTCTCTGGCACAGGAAGTGGGCATGGCAGGGGGCAAGATCTCTTCCATAGAGAAAGGGAGCTACAGGTATGAGACAGACAGATGGATCTGTCAGTGGAGGAGCAAGAGCAGGACATGAAGTGGGTTGTATGCTGAGACATCAGTGGCTCAGGGATTGGTCAGTTTGGATCAATGGTTGAGTGGGTGGGAGAGCTGGTATAGGAGACGGCTGATCAGAAACAAAGAGCAGGTGTGGGCATCACACTGGCAGTAGGTGATGAGGGCTTAGACTAGGATGTTAGTGGTGGAGCTCATGGAGGTAGTGGATTCACTTGATGTGAAAAACAAAATAAGCAAGATGAGGATGGCTGGATGCTGGGCTGGACGGAGGCAGAGTGCTATGGGTTTGGCCAAGGTTGTTTCCCCCTTCTCGACTGTCTGAGTGACAGGTCATCCAGTGCAAGTAGAGGAAGGAGGAGTGGGCAAGATCGTGATTTCCTTCTAGGCATGAAGAATCTGATGGAACATGTGGAATATAATTGAAAAATAAGTGTTTGGAAGGGACTCAGCTGGGCTGAGGAGGGGCTGGTGAGAGACACTCACTGGCAGGCTGAGCAGGAGAGAGGCGAGACCATGGCTCTGCAGTGCTGCCAATCAACACACTCGATGACTCCAACTGCCTTCAGCAGCTGAGATGTAGGACAGACAGATTCAAATGTCACCTTGAGGTTTTACAGTAAAAGAGGGGCAGGAAGCCAATGGAGCCAGGGATTGCTTCTGCCTGACAAACAGGAGGATGGAAGAATGGATGCAGAAGGGTGGGAACAGATTACAGACAGATATAGTAAGATAGGCTCTTTTTCTTCTGAGTCCAGAATGACATGTGAGATACTATGCTTTGTGATTGATATCATCACATGAAAGATCCTAACAGCTGACTTTTTTTGAGCTCCTAACTACACCTTAGGCATGGTGCTAAGCATTTTTCATGCATTCACGATTATACCTTCAAACAGCCCAATGAGTTTGAAATTATTTCTACTTTTTTCAAGAGTAGGCAGAGTAAACCAAACCCATGTGCCTTCTCCTTGGGCACACAGCTGAATCCTACCTCCCTGCTACATCCAGAGGGAGGGCCAACCGCTGAGTCCTCAAACAGAATGCGAGGTGAAGTGATGCGTATGTGCAGCTGGACTCTACCTTCCTCTCATGAGCCCTTTGCAGCAGAATGATGCCAGGGTGACCATGAAGCCACATATGGATGACAAAGGGCACATGGTCTCTGAACAACTGTGTGAATGAACTCCCAGGCTGACCCACATGGACCCTGTTATGATTGAGAAAAATATTTTTCATGTGTTGAGCCACTGACATGTTGGAGGTTATCTGTTACTGCAGTGAGCATTAACTGAGCCTGACGTAGCTAAATGAGGCCAAGGAATTGGAGCCAGAGCCTCACTCTTACCTGACAGACGAGGTTCTTCATCTGGCGGCAGTAAAGAATGTGTTGAGGAGGGAGGACAGAAGGACACCAAGACACCCAGGCACCCAAGGAGGCCGCAACAAGGAGCTTCCCACGGAGTTCCAGAGGCAACAGTTAGGCTGCCACAACACCCACTGTCTACATCTCGGCCACCCACCTGCACAGGCACTTCGGGAGAGGCTTCTCTTCACAATCCATAGCTCCTGCCTGTGCTCCGATAGGTGGACAAGCTCTGATTTGGGGACTGGGTATCCTGTTTGTGGAGAAAGAAGTAAGATACACATATTTTAGCAAAGACAAAAGAAATGCCTCAGTGCTGTCTGGGACTTCACGACAGAGAAGACCTTGGAGTGAGGCTGCTCTTGTCTAAGCTGATCTGCAACCGGGAACCAACGCCAAGAACGCCGTCACTGGGTCCTAAACACCGAATAAGGTGGTGCGTCCTCTATGCCGATCCGCCTCCCTTGACCTCCATCCTAGAGAATCCCCAAAATTGTTCCGATGTAGTCACAGGACCCACGTGCACCAGTGCTCAAAAGAACAGCATGGCCACTGCTACTGACTGCTTTTCTTTACACTGGCCCACTTTAATTTTATCTTAATACCTGCCTTTAAAAAGGGAATCCTGTGTCAATTTGAGAAATTGAAAAACTAGTTTCATTCACCACAAATGGAAAGTTACTATAAGAAAATCAAAATAGTACTATTTAAAAAAATATTTTATTGATTTAAGAGAGGAAGGGTGAGGGAGAGATAGAAACATCAATGATGAGAGAGAATCATTGATTGGCTGCCTCCTGCACACCCCCCACTGGCGATGGCATGTGCCCTTGACCAGAATCGAACCTGGGACCCTTCAGTCCGCAGGCCAACACTCTATCCACTGAGCCAAACCAGTTAGGGCCAAAACAGCACTATTAAGTCTCAGTGAACTCACACTGCTTGCTCAGGGCTGTGAGTCTGAGGCTGTCTCCTCTGTTGAAGAGGGAAATTACCAATAGGCAAGGGGCATTTAGAAAGACTCAGCTCGGCCCTGGCCGGGTAGCTCAGGTGGTTAGAGCATTGTCCCCCTACTCCAAGGTTGTGGGTTCGCTCCCTGGTCAGGGCACATACAAGAATCAACCAATGAATGAATAAGAAAGTGGAACAACAAACTGGTGTCTCTCTCTCTCTCTGTTCCTCTTTCTCTAAAATAGAAAACAAACAAAAAAAGACTTAGCAAAAAATAAATACTTTCTCCCTTAACCGGGAAGGGGGGATGGGGGGAGTCTGGCCCATAATAAGGCCCGCAAAATCATTTGGTCTGGCCCTGCTAAGGCATTAAATTTTAATTAAATGTTTGACCAAATATTGCAGGCTAGTTAAAAAAAAATTTTTTTTTTATTGTTTAAAGTATTATATATGTCTCCTTTTTCTCCCACCGACCCCTCCCCGGCCACTCTCACTCCCTAGAACAGGCTAAATTTTAAGTTGATAATTGTGTATGGTCCTTGAATGATGTTATAAATATCATAAAAATGGCCCCTGGCAAAAAAAAGGTTCCCCACCCCTGCCCCAAAACCATCAGCAAGCAGGGAGAAAAAAAGAAAAAAAAGGGAATGGCTTTCTCCGATTGCTCATCCATGCCATTTGTTGTGTTTGTACCCCCTAAAACGATCTCCCATGCCAAGAGAGAATCATGGCCCAGACTTCTGGACACAAGGGATAAACAGGTAGGCATCAGGGGTCAAAGAAGTCTTTTAAGCATTTTTTTTTAAATTCTCACCTGAGGATATTTTTCTTTTGATTTTTTGAAAGATTGGAAGGGAGGGAGGAGGTAAGGGGAGAGAGAGAAACATCGATGTGAGAGTGACACATCGATTGGTTGTCTCCCGAACATGCCCTGATGTAGGCCACGGATTGAGCCTGCAACCAAGGTACGTGCCCTTGACCAGGAATCGAACCCGAGACCCTTCAGTCTGAGGGCTGATGCTCTAACCACTGAGCAACTGGTCAGGGCCAAAGAAGCCTTTAAAATGAACTGTTGTTTAGAACAATAACCAGTAGGACTCACACCTCCGGGTGTGCTGTCTGGTTCACTCATTTCTGAACAACATCCTATTACTCATGGGTCCTCCTGACTGGGCTGTGAACCAATCAGGTTTGGCTACTCAGCTTCCACCTCACGGGAACCTGGAGAAGGGACAGTCTAAGCCAGCCTGTGCTGAAGTCCAGGTTGAGAGGTAAAGGGAAGTGTGGGCTCGGGACCTCTGTGCAGAGACGGCCAAGTGGAAAGGAAGAGAGAGAATGAAAAAAAGTATATACAGAGAGAAGTAGAGACAAGGAATTGGGGGCTTCTTAGAGCAAGGACAGGAGTGGCCATTTCTAGCTACCAACTCCCCGTGGCAGAAAAAGCCAATCTGCTGAGACCCACAAAGAGACGTGAGGAACAGAAGTCTCCGGGGCAAGGCCTAATCAGATTCCTTCACTTTCTGGCTTTAACTCTCATGATGCCGGACTGCACATCTTGCCCTTGGATGTTAAAGAAACCCATGTTTCCTCCTACAAATCCTTCTCCTTTGGTATCTGAGCCATTCAGAAGAGAACTACATTTCTTGCCCAAAATTTCCTGTAGAAGATACAGGGAGACAGACAGGAGAACATGAAACCAACACACACTGGGGCTGCGGGCGGGAGAGAGGTAGTCTTGTGGAAATCTGAACACAAGGTGGAATGAAGAAGGCTGTAGGTCCCCACAGAAAGGAGCAGTGAGGCCTTACCCAGAGAGACCAGGAGCCTACAGATTTCCAGCATCACTTCCCTGTATAGGGTCCTCTGGGCAAGGTCCAGCTGCTCCCACTCGTCCTGGGTAAAGATCACTGCCACATCCTTGAAGGTAACTGATGTCTGAAAAGTCAAACAGAGGTAGCTTCGTTGGCCCAGGGCCAGTCAGATAAGATTAGAGCCTCATGCCCAGTCGTTTGTAAAGGACCATAGAGCCCTGAGTGGTATGTGAGCACATGAGCCCCTTCCCAAGCTCCAACTCCCCCTCCACCCTGTGGGAATACAATGAAGGCCCTCTGTAAGTGGACTGTGGGACCCCGGAAGCCTGGCAGCTCCTCGGTCACAGAATGGCCAAAAAGAGCCTGTGCCGGATGTGAGCCTGGACTGTAAACAGCTGGTGTTTTAATCACACAGCTTGCTCACGAGCCCGTCCACCCTGCATGCACAATTTGTGACTCTATTTTCTGACTCTAGGTAACCCTGTACTACCAAAGCCTGTGTGTGTGGCGGAGTCTTCACCGACAGGCCACCCCCAATATGCACTAAGTCCTCATAAATTCATGTCTTTCACAGCCAGTCCTCTGAGTAATTTCCTTGAAATTGGCAAGCAGGACTCAGACCTCAGCTCTTTGCATAACAAGCCCCAAGGCCAGTATCATCGAGCACTTCCTAGGAACCTCACTCTGTCCCAGGTCCCAAGGACTCAGACACTGCTGTGGACCAAATAACACTGACTGTGTTAGAGACAAAAGCTTTCTACGCTGGAACCATTCACCAAACACAGGACAGTGGCAAGGCCGAACGGCCCGAGAGGCATAGACAGCAAGCACTTTGAGAATGAAGAGGAGCAGGGAGGACATGACAATGATCAAAGCACCATCATGACAAAAGCAGCAGCAGTAGAGCCTCGCTGGTCCTTACCACATTCCTGCGCCAGGTGGGGCTTCACATGCCATATTCTAGCAATTACACATTCCCGCCCTGGAGCTAGATTCCGATTTTGAATATAGTCTACTGGGAATGATTCTTGCCTGATCTGCAATCTGGGGGAAGTTAAACTTATTTTCCTGAGCCTCAATTTCTGCATCAACACAGTAACAGTTCCCACCTCACGAGGTGGTTGTGAGAATTAAAGAAAAAATGTTCACAAGGCAAACTGCAGTGCCTAGCACATGTCAGTGCTCTATGCGTTTTTCCTACTTTCATTACTCCACCCACAGCTATGATGCAAACACCATTGTCATCTCCACAGCAGTCAATGAGGCTCAGGCAGCTCTAGCAAGTCACCTGGAGTCACATGTCCCAGGAACACAGATAGAATTTGAACATCTGTAAAACACACACAACCTCACCCTCCTGAGGCACATCTCAGAGACATTCCCTGCCCCTGTACATACACTTCCATCTGGCGGGAAGGTCCGCCATGCCCCCTTGTTCCCAAGTTCACATGCCAAAGGGACACTTCCTGCCTTGCAAAGTTTTCATTAGTTGTAATCTCTAGGCCCCCAGTGCACTGTGGGTGGAAAGGTGATTAAGAATGCACATTCCGGCCGAAACTGGTTTGGCTCAGTGGCTAGAGCGTCGGCCTGCGGACTGAGAGGTCCCAGGTTCAATTCCGGTCAAGGGCATGTACCTGGGTTACGGGCACATCACCAGTGGGGGGTGTGGAGGCAGCTGATCGATGTTTCTCTCTCATCGATGTTTCTGACTGTCTCTCTCCCTTCCTCTCTGTAAAAGATCAACAGAATATACTTAAAAAAAAAAAATGCACATCCCGAAAATAAATAAATAAATAAAAGAATAAAAAAAGAATGCACATTCCACCCTGGCTGGCTTGGCTCAGTGAATAGAGCATTGGCTTGTATACTGAAGGGTCCTAGGTTCTATTCTGGTCAGGGGCACATGCCTGGGTCCCCAGTGCGGGGCGTGCAGGAGGCGGCCGATCAGTGATTCTCTCTCATCATTGATGATTCTATCTTTCTCTTCCTTTCCCTTCCTCTATGAAATGAATAAAAATATATATATATTTTTTTTTAAAAAAAGGAGAATGCACGTTCTGATGGTCAGTGTACAGTGTGTTGACTTTCGGCTATTTAGCTCTGTGACCTTTGGCCGGTCTGAAGTTCCTCTCCTATAAAGCAGGGATGATAAACGAACCTAACTCTGAGGTAGGGTACTCCACTTCAGCACAGATCAAGTGCTAAATGAAGGCCAGCTGCTTCGCTTGTTTTAGTTATTTTTTCTCTTTGCTCCCAGAATACTCTGGGGTGAAAAATCAACTAAACCCCATCTCTGCTTTTGTAACTGTACCAGATTCTGTGCACAAAGATTTCAGGAGATGGGCAAGTGGGAATGGGGATACCTAGAACTAGCAGAAAAGCCAGGGAAAGACCCATCTAAGAGGTGACACTGGACAGAGCTGGGAAGAAGGTAAAGAGGCAGCCCTGCAGCGATCTGGAGGCAGTTTTCCAGGCTGAGGAAATTGCATGGGCAAAAGCCTGGAAATGGGAAAGAGCTTGGAATGTTCAAGATCGCTTAGCTGGAGAGCAATGAGCAAGGAGGAAGGGAAGGAGAGAACTGAAGGGGAAGGGACAGAGGTGGATGTAGTAGGGCCTTGCAGGCTAGTCGAAGCGTGCAGAGAGGAGTCACTCACTCATCAACCACTTATGGAGCACTGATTACAGGGCCTGCACTGTTCCAGGTCTGAGGAGAAGGAATGCAAAATACTATTTGGAATGGCCCTAAGGATTCTACAGACAAAACAGGATGAGGGTAACAAATTGAGATGACTTAAATGGGGTCAGTGGGGAAGGCCTCGCCAAGGAGGGGACATTGGAGGGAGCATGAAATGAAGTAAGAAAGGGAATCATGTGGAGGACAAATAAATACAAGTCTTGACAGTAATGAGGTTATGACAAAAGTAAAGATGGTGCCATGCCAGAGAGCAATACAGGACCTGTTGTGTGTTTACATCTAAAGACACAGCCCCAAGCAATAAAACAAAAATAAATAAATAAATAAATAAATAAATAAATAAAGACACAGCCCTGGTACACCATCATTACTGATGTTTATATAAGAAACATCCAAACCTGTAGAGAATTTTTGTAAGACTTTATTTGAGCCAAAACTGATGACAATTGCTGGAAAGCAAGATCTCAAATGTTTTCTGGATGCAGTTTTTATACACATTTGGAATTAAGGAGGGAGCTTATATTCCTTCTAATTGGTGTTTTGGATTTTTTAGGATATATTCTCAGAAGTGGGATCGCTGGGTCAAACGGAAGTTCCATTTTTAATTTTTTGAGGAAACTCCATACTGTTTTCCATAGTGGCTGCACCAGTCTGCATTCCCACCAGCAGTGAACTAGTGTTCCCTTTTTTCCATATCCTCGCCAGCATTTGTTGTCTGTTGATTTTTTGATGATAGCCATTCTAACATGTGTGAGGTGATATCTCACTGTGGTTTTAATTTGCATTTCTCTGATGATTAGTGACTCTGAGCATTTTTTCATATGTCTCTTGGCTATCTGTATGTCCCCTTTGGAGAAATACCCAAAAAAACCAATCAGAAAGAATGAATGCATTCCTATGTTCATAACAGTGTTATTTACAGTAGCTAAGATTTGGAAACAGCCCAAGTGCCCATCAGTAGATGAGTGGATAAAAAAGCTGTGGCACATCTATGCTATGGAATACTATTCAGGTATAAAAAAGGGGACCTCTTACCCTTTGGGACAGCATGGATGGAACTGGAAAATATTATGGTAATTGAAATAAGCCAATCTGAGAAAGACAAATATTACATGACCTCACTTATTTGTGGAATCTAATGAACAGAATGAATCGACAACAAAGTAAGACCCAAAGCATGGAGGCATGGAACAAACTGACATACCTCCCTGTGGGGTTACGGAGATGAGAAGAGATAAACCAAAGAACTTATATGCTTACTAGAGGCCCAGTGCATGAATCCATGCACTGGTGAGGTCCCTCGGCGTGGCCTGTGGGGATCTGGCCAAAACTGGCAGTCCAATGCCACCTGCTGCTCCTGCCTGCCGCTCCCGCTCATCCCGATCCTGCTGCAGTCAGTTCCCATTGGGAAAGGCTCGCACCGCCACAGCAGCGCTCACCAGCCGTGAGCCCTGTGTCTGGCACCCATCGGTCAGCTGAGGGGCACTTCCACTGTGGGAGCACACTGACCACCAGGGGGCAGCTACTGGTCAGTACGGGTCATAGCAACTAGTTGACTGGTCTTTAGGTTGTTCAGTTGTTCGGTCCTTAGGCTTTTATATATATAGATAGGCATAGCCCATAGACACAGGCAATAGAGTAGTGAAGCCATGAGGAGGGTGGGTAGGGGCTGGGAGGATGGGAGTAAAGGGAGAGAAAAGGGGAAATATCTATAATACTATCAACAATAAAAAGTATATATATATGTGTGTGTGTATATATATATATATATATATATATATATATATAAATATATTTTTATTGATTTCAGCAAGGAAGGGAGAGGGAGAGATAGAAACATCAATAATGAGAGAAAATCATTGATCAGCTGCCTTCTGCATGCCCCCTACTGGGATCAAGCCCGCAACCCTGGGCGTGTGCTCTTAACTAGAATTGAACCTGGGACCCTTCAATCCACAAGCCAACACTCTATCAACTGAGCCAAACTGGCTAAGGCTAAAAAGTATATATTTTTTAAAAAAGGAGTTTGCCTAATTTACTCCAACAGTGTAATTTACATTTTGGAAAAATAGGGTAAATAAAACAAATCTTATATAATAAAAGAGAAACATGCAAATTAATCATCCCTCCGTGATGCTCAAGCCACACCCACCAGCCAATCAGGAGCGAGTATGCAAATTAACCCAGCTAAGATGGTGGTGGCTACGCAGCTGGAGCGAGCAGGAGGCTTGGGTTGCCCCCGGTGATGGAGGAAGCCAAGCTTCCCGCCTGCCCTGGCCAGGCCCTCGGCTCCGCTCAAGGCTACAAAGTTTCAATTACAGAAGATACCTCACCCAGACTGGCCAGGCACCCCAGCGGGACTCCCCCACCCTGAAGGGGCTGTGGGCAGCCTGAAAACGGCCCTCAGCCCCTCACCCAGGCTGGCCACACCTCCATGGGGTAAGGGTCCCTGCTGGGGGGCTTGGCCAGCCTGCAAACAGCCATCAGCCCCTCATCCAGGCTAGCCAGGCACCCCAGTGGGACACCTACCCTGATCTGGGACACCCTTCAGGGCAAACTAGCCAGCTCCCACCCATGCACCAGGCCTCTATCCTATCTAATAATAGACAAACATGGTAATTGACCATACCTTCTCTATGCTTCCCAATGGCTAATCAGCACGATATGCAAATTAGCCACCACAAAGATGGCAGCTAATTTGCATACTGCAGGCAGGGCGGGACAGCGTGAGCCACCAGCCCTGCCATCCAGGGCAAGCCCGGCCCCGCCTTGCTCCAAAAGCCCCAGGAGCCGGCCCCGCCTTGCCACCTGGGACCTGATGGGGGGGTCGGCAAGGCAGGCTGGACCCAGAAGCCCCAGAAGCCAAAACAGATTATGAGGGTGAATCAAAAACAAAACCCACTTTAAATATAAAGACACATATAGATTAAAAGTAAATGAATTAAGCTGCAGCCTGTTTTGCTCAGTGGATAGAGCATTACCCCTTGGACTGAAGGGTCCCAGGTTCAATTCCAGTCAAGGGCATGTACCTCAGTTGCTGGCTTGATCCCCAGTCCCTATCAAAGCATGTGCAGGAGGCAACCAATCATTGTGTCTCTCCCTTTCCCTTCACTCTCTCTAAAATTCAATGGAAAAATATTTTTGGGTGAAGATTAACAAAAACAAAGTAAATGGATTCAGTAACATTAAAGAGATTATAAGAAAAATATATTCCAAATTTTGTTAGTTGTATAATGTTTAAATTATTAACACCTAAGAAATTGGGTGAAGGGTACATATAATATGCTGTAGTATTTTATAGTTTTTTTTAACATGTATGAGATTATTTCAAATTAAAATATTAAAAAGTTAAAAATTAATAAAATATTAATTGAAATGTATCTGCATTACATGAAAAATCTCCTAATTGCTTCTAGCATAATTTATTAAATTGTGCTAAAATTTACAAGGGTTCAATTAAAAAATATCTTAATTGTAAATGACATAATAGCCAAACCAGTTTGGCTCAGTGGATAGAGCATCGGCCTGCAGACTGAAGGGTCCCAGGTTTGATTCTGGTCAAGGGTATGTACCTTGGTTGCTGGCACATCCCCAGTAGGAGGTGTGCAGGAGGCAGCTGGTCGATGTTTCTCTCTCATTGATGTTTCTAACTCTCTATCCCTCTCTCTCCTTCTCTGTAAAAAAATCAATAAAATATATTAAAAAAATAAATAAATGACATAATAGGAAATATATAATAGTGCAGTTATAAGCACTTATCTGAAAATAAAAATTTAAAGAAGTGAATTTAAAGAAGGGATTAGCCAAAGAAAATATGTGCACAACTCATGGACACAGACAACAGTATGGTGATGGCCAGAGAGAAGTGGGGAGCAAGAGCTGGGTAGAGGGGGCAAAAGGGGGGAGATGGGGACATCCTATCCTATCTAATAAAAGAGAAACATGGTAATTAGCGTACGACCGCTATCCTTCCCATTGGCTAATCAGGGCGATATGCAAATTAACTGCCAGCCAAGATGGCGGCCGGCAGCCAGGCAGCTTGAAACTAACATGAGGCTTGCCTGCTTCAGTGACGGAGGACTCCAACGTTCCCCGCCTGCCACTGCAGGCCTCTGAGCTGCAACTCTAAGCAACTATGTAACAAATATAGAAGCTAAACAAAACCCCAGAAACCTGCTTTAGTCCACCGGACTTCAGCCAGCAGGATCGCAACATTGTAAGCAAAGGCCAGAAACGTACTTTCAGCAGCGGAGGCCTAAGAGCTGGAGCCTCAAAGCTAAAGCTGGCCCAGAATAAAAAAAAAAAAAGAAAGAAAAAAAGGAGCGGTTGGGAGCTTCAGTCACCCCCAGCCTGAAAACAGCCCTCAGCCCAGACTGGCCAGGCATCCCAGTGGGGACCCCCACACTGAAGGGTGTGTGACCAGCTGCAAACAGCCATCATCCCCTCACCCAGGCTGGCCAGGCACCCCAGTGGGGACCCCCACCCTGATCCAGGACACCCTTCAGGGCAAACCAGCCGGCCCCCACCCATTCACCAGGCCTCTACCCTATATACTAAAAGGGTAATATGCCTTCCAGCACCGGGATCAGCGGAGCCATGAGGCCTCCCGGCACCGGGATCAGCGTGACAGGGGGCAGACCCCAAACCCCCTGATCGCCCTGCTCTGTGCGTGACAGGGGGCAGTGCCCCAACTCCCTGAATGGCCCTGCTCTGTGCATGATGGGGTGGCGCCGCAACCTCCCCATCGACCCTGCCTTGAGTGTGACAAGGGACGGTGCCCCAACCCCCCAATCGGCCCTACCCTGAGCGTGACTGAGGGTGGCATCACAACCTCCCGATCGCCCTGCTCTGTGCATGACAGGGGGCGGCGCCCCAACTCCCCAATTGGCCCTGCTCTGAGCCGGACCAGGGACTGCACCTAGGGATTAGGCCTGCCCTCTGCCACCCGGGAGCAGGCCTAAGCCAGCAGGTCGTTATCTCCCGACGGGTCCCAGACTGCGAGAGGGCACAGGCCGGGCTGAAGGACCCCCCTCCCCCCCGAGTGCACAAATTTTTGTGCACCGGGCCTCTAGTATAATAATAATAAAAGGCTAATATGCACATTGACTGAACGGCAGAATGACCGGTTGCTATGATGCGCACTGGCCACCAGGGGGCAGATGCTCAATGCAGGAGCTGCCACCTGGTGGTCGGTGCACTTCCATATGGGGAGTGCCACTCAGCCAGAAGCTGGCTCATGGCTGGCCAGCGCAGTGGTGGTGGCAGGAGCCTCTCCCACCTCCATGGCAGCACTAGAATGTCCAACTAACGGTTTAGACCTGATCCCTTGAGGGCCTAAGCCTTTAGTTGGACATCCCCTGAGGGATCCCTGGCTGCCAGAAGGATGTCTTGACTGCAAGCTTAGGCCTGATCCCCCGGGGAGTGGGCCTAAGTCGACAGGTGGACATCCCCCAAGGGGTCCTGGACTGTGAATGGGCGCAGGGCGGGCTGAGGGACCCCCCCCTCCGAGTGCACAAATTTTTGTGCACCGGGCCTCTAGTCCTATATAATAAAAGGGTAATATGCAAATTGACCCTAACAGCAGAACCTCTGGGAATGACTGGTCACTATGACACACACTGACCACCAGGGGGCAGATGCTCAATGCAGGAGATGCCCCCTGGTGGTCAGTGCACTCCCACAGGGGGAGCTCTCCTCAGCTACAAGCCAGGCTGATGGCTGCCAGCACAGCGGTGGTAGCGGGAACCTCTCCCTCCTCCTCAGCAGCACTAAGGATGTCCGACTGCAGTTTAGGCCTGCTCCCCGCTGGCAAGTGGACATCCCCCAAGGGCTCCCGGGCTGCCAGAGAGATGTCTGACTACCAGCTTAGGCCTGATACCCCAGGGAGTGGGCCTAAATCAGCAGGTGGACATCCCCTGAGGGGTCCCAGACTGGGAGAGGGCACAGGTCGGGTTGAGGGACCCCTCCGAATGCACAAATTTTTGTGCACTGGGCCTCTAGTTATCTTAGTAAAAAAAAAAAAAAAAAAGTTTAAAAATTAACTGAAGGTGGGAGAAAGCAAGGTACAGGATCTTAAGAAGATTAACTATCCCTTGAGGGTAGTTATCCCTCTAAGAGGTCTGGAAAAGAGAATTGAACAATGGACCTTGCTTATTTAAGGCAAAGATAAACCTTTTTACTAAAGAAAGTATATGCCTGGGGTATGACTACCTAATTAGGAATTTATGATCAGATCACCCTGTGAGGTCACTTTTAGTTAGATATATTACAATGCCCCTTTTCATCCACACTGAATATGTAATGGATTTTCTTTTCAAATGTGAATGTCTTAAAAGGTAAACTGATTCACTACTGTGAATCAGGCAAGTCAACTGCACTGACAAGATGGCAACTGCAAAAGGTGAGTTTGGGGGCTTCCCTAGCTCTCAGCCTGATCTATGATCTTCCTTGCACTAGCAGAGAAGCAGCAGTTCCAAACGCGTTTTCTCCACCCGCCTTTCCCTCCAGGCTACCCACCTCCTACTCCACTCATCAGTTATGTGTAAGGCCAGAGCCCAGGAAGGCCCAAGGGCCAGATTCTTCTTGAGATCAGGCCCTAAGATTAACACGGGCACCTCTCAGGCAAATGGGTACAGAATGATGCTCCCTGGGCAGTGCTGGGAGACAGATACACATAACAGAGGTGCACTTTCCAGTTCCCGAAACCAAGAGGGAACAACTGTAAACATTCCCACTTTATACCTGAGATAAGATAGGCCAAGGATAACGAGTGGCTCAGGCAGGTCACACCCTGGAATGGGTGCCACCCAGAATCCACACTGAGGTCTCTGCATTCAGCAGCCTACGTCCCACCCAGCGGGAAGGTCCACGTGAGTCGCGCCTACCGTGGAGAGTCTGAGAAGCTACACTTCTTCCTTCCACGTGGCAAACCGGTGATTGCCAGAAATGAGAATCTCTCCATGTAAACCCCATCCTGGAGTCCACACCATGGGCTGTGCGTGACCCCATGCCGGGATACCCAGACCAAACGGCAGCGAGGGGAAGGCGAGGACTCCTGCATTTAATGCACGTCAGGGCGCCAACAATGAAGGAGTGGGCAGGGACCGGGCCACCCTGCACTTACCTGCGCCAGGTCCATGTGAACTAGCACCAACAAGGAAGTCCGTGTGCGGAGCACAGCCAAGAGAGGCGACGGCAGAGGTGGTCCCGTGGGCTCGCCGAAGCCTCCTCCAGGTCCTGCTAGCGCCGGAGTGGCTGTCCTCTCCTTTCGGTGCTTCTCTGCAACGTACCGAAGAGCCTGGAGAGCAGAGTGCACATACCCCTAGGCTGGAAGAGCCAACTTGCCGGTGGCGCCGGAAGTCCCACCCAACTATCCCGCAGCCCCTTTCAAGGTCCCGAATACCCTGTAGTCGGAGCCTCACCTCGCCCAGACTTCTGGGTAATGTAGTTTCTCTCTTGCTCCAGCCTGGCCCGGGGAGCCCTTCCCAATCTACTGAACCACCACCTGATTGGGTGGGGCGCTGGGAAAAGGTGGCTTGTAGGAAGGGGATGAGGCTTGCATCTTCTTAAAGGGGAAGCACCCAGATTTAGCTGCCACCCATCACAGAAGACACAAGACTTCATATGCCACTATGGGAAGGAAGAAACTTGCCCCTATCCTCAAGTTTGTTTTTTTTTCCTTCTCCTGATCTAATAATCAAATCTATAGAAGATAGACTAACAAAAGAAAATAACCAAATTTAATACATACATACTGTGAACAAAAAATGGTGTATGTAGTAAATCTGATGTCCCAATTAATTAATTATCTGCCTAGATTTAGTGGGACATACGCAGGTGAATAGGGGTCAGCAATAACGGCCTATCCCCTGGTACTTCACTGTCTAACAATTGAGCAGAACCGGAACACATGAACACACAAGACAGAATTAGTATGCAATCACACAAGGTTTACTTACCTATTCCTAGTGGGTCCTAGGCTCCGGCAAAGGCCACCCAGCCAAGCACACCGAAAGACAGACGACGAAGACGGAAACAGGCGGCCGGCGGTTGGTTCAGGCTCGCACAGCAGAGCAGTCAGTCAGAGGCTCGTCTCCCGGATCGAGGTGGAGTCCTCCTCTTATCAGGCAGGAAGGTCCGGCGCTTATATAGCCAGCAGCAAACAACTTGTGTCTTAGCAGTGTGGGCCAGACGGTTACGCTAGGAGCAGGGCCTTTACACTTTAAGGGCTTAGGGCGTTTACATCAAGATAGTGGGGCGTTCACCATGTTTATAACATGTTGGAAGTTACAGACTTGGGGTCTCCACACAGTAAACATTTCACACAATAATCATTTCACGCATTAGAGGGATTTCCTTATGACCATAACATTATAACATTTGATAAGCTCAGTGACTACAGTAACCTCAAAGGGTGATCTGATCATAAATTCCTAACGGGGCAGGTCACAGTGGGTAGTCACACCCCAGGCCTATAACTTCATTAGGTTTGTCTTTGCCTTAAGCAAGCCTGTCCATTTGAAACGCCAGAGTAATTCTCTTTTCCAGTCCTCTTGAAGGGGTAACTACCCTCAACCTCCTGAGAAGTTTCACATTTCAGAAATTGAGTTGATTGTCCCATATGACACTAAATTAGTCTCAGTCTTGAGTATAATCAGGTCAGTTAAACAGTCATGTCTCATTTCAGGAGGCAGACATATAGGTGGGCTCCCAAAGCTAGGCCAATGGCGCAAGCAATCACGTATTTAATAATAGGTAGCTCTATGGCAGCGGCTCTCAACCTGTGGGTCACGATCCCTTTGGCGGTCGAACGACCCTTTCACAGGGGTCGCCTAAGACCATGCTGCATATTGTTGTGCCCAGATTTCATGATTCCCAAGAACCCACAGGGAGCCAGCGAGTCCGATGCAAAAGCAAAGAGTCATTCATTTCAAACCTAGGTTTGGCTCCCCTGCCACACTCACCGATGCAACGGTAAGCTCCAGTGGCCGAGAGAGAGAACTCTGTGTGGAGAGAGGTTTTATAGGGGTTTGGGGTAAGGGGAGGAGAAAGGACTGTGGGCCCTGCTGATTGGCCAGGCGTGAGTACACAGGATGTGGTCATAGTGATGGCGTGCACTTCCCTTGACTATCTTCCGGGAAGAAGCTTGCTGAGCACATGGCCAAGTTAAGATGAAGGGCATAGCCCTTACCCTAGGGCAAGGTGGAGGGCGTACTCCTCGCCCTTTCATTCCCCCCTTGTCTTGGAACTTCCGGCTCAATCATGAGACGGACTGCATTTCTATTCCACCATTGCTAGAGGCCCATACTGGGCACACAGAACTATCAACTGAACTATCCCTATAAGCTTAACAAATGGCCCGGTGGAAGGGAAAGAAACCATTTTAGATTTAACAACTTCTATTGAAACAGGATTTTTCTTCTTAAAATTCCTCCATGGCTATCAAAAAGCCAAATCAAGATTAATTTATCTACTGTCCTGATGTTTGCATACACACAACAAGAATGGTAACTGACTACCTTTGCTGGAATTTCATGGTTGAATCTTAATGTGCCCCGTAGGGCCAGGAAGCCAAGCCATCCAGCTGCCATCAAGCCTGCCTGCAGTATCTGCTGAGTTAGGTGAATCCCTCACCTGTAGCAACTCCACCTGAGCCCACGCTCCAGGCTTTAAGGCCCATCTCAGTAGCCCTCCTACTTGTTGCGGCCCAGAGTGTGTGGGGTTCTTCAGGGATGCAGAGGCATCTTTACTGCTCCCCTTCTACTCTTACCAACCGCCAGTGATGGTAGGGCATCAGCCTGACGCTCCAGCGCCAGCCATCTTCAGGGCTCCCAAGCAGGATACCAGGCTTTCTTTGTGGCATTCTTAGTGGCTTCAAGTCTTTAGAGTTCAGACAGGGCTCTTTAAAACATGATACTCCAAAGTTTTCCGTTAATAAAACCACTATTATGAATCAGTCTCATTGGATCTATGCAAAGAAACGTACTTATTTAGCATTGCCAGATTTTGGAGGAATTACATAAGGAGAAAAACATACTGATCTACTCTAAGATTTTCTGACTTTCCTTGCTAATTCCTTTTCATGGATTTAAAACAAAACAGTAACTGTTGGCATAAAACCTTCTTTCTATGCATAACCATGCCTCAGACCTTCTATTCTAAACAGGCTTTTTCCAGCTTTACTACCCCTGACATGGCATGGTGACTCAGGCCTGCAAGACAGTATTACAGGCTGCCAACTGTTAGCTGTTTCTCAACAGAGACCAAAACCTGATGGGCACCCTTCCCTGCCCAGCTGGGCACCTGCCCTCTTGGCAGCTAGGCACCCTTTACTTTTGGGGGTCACCCCACACAGCTCCCTTCCAGGAGAGCCAACATACATTCAAACCTGCAAAAGAATCAAAGGTTAATATAACATATCAATACAATGAAACATAATATTGGCATCATGGCCGCTTCAGGCAGCCAAATCTTCTGCTACTAAACATGTGATCCTATAAATTGTCCTTGTCTCTTTGGATCCATGTCCATGAAGATGCAGGCATTATTACACAGTATTGTGGGGGCTCCTGGTGACAGGAGTGATCCCAAGTCATGTTACCGGCATCAGGCAGGTCGAGCACGCCGTAGCTTGAGCTTGAGCGGGTTGCGTTGATCTCGATCGATGCTCCATTTGGTGATGAAGTCTTTCCGGATGGACCCAGGTCGCGACGCTGTCTACCTTGAGAGCGGTGGGGGTCGTCAGCACCACAATGTAGGGACCCTTCCAACGTGGCTCTAGGGTCTCCTGGTGGTGCCTTCTGACGTGGACCCAATCTCCTGGTCTGTGCTGATGAGGAGTTGGGGTTGGGCTGGTCTCATAGATGGCGCGGAGGCGCGGCCAAATGTCCTCGTGCGCCCTCTGGAGCCCTCTCAAGGAAAGAGATTGTTAAAGAAAAGCCACCCAGTCCTCGCCAGTCTCCGAGTCAGACAGATTCCTCCTCTCTTGGAGAACTTCAAAGTCCTGATGGCTTCTAGGTAACGCTGTTTATCAGCTACAGCGCTCTGCTTTTTTTTTGGCCTTTCTATCAGTTCCCTTTGTGGCAGAGCAGCAACCAGGCCTCTTTCAAGGGAGTGTGTTAGAAGTGGGTATCAGCCCCTCCTTTGCTAGCAGCAACAGGTACCAAACCCTTGCAGTACATTTGACCAGCTTCATTCCTGCCCACCTTTACAGATTCTAAGGCCCATTGTTTTCCTTTAACCAGCAAGCTAAATGACACTGGCCTGTATTATTTAATTCAGCACAGGCAGGGGGAAGGACCCATGGAATCTCTGCCCTGAGGAACTGTGAGCCCCACCCTTAAATGTCCCAATCAGACTAGAAAAGCCACAAATACCTTTTAAATCTACCCCAGAATTCCAAAATCCCAACCCAGCACTGAATATCACATAGCAAATCAAAGTTCCCAGCAAACAAACAGACAGAGATGTTTACTAGTTAGGTGGGCCGATTCCACCTCTGACAGAGAGCAAGTGCTCTTGGGGCAAGCGTGTGCCTTTTTTTTCCCCACAGACTTCCACACTTACATGAAAATTATATTAAGACCATGATTGCTAATTTAGTATTAAATAAATCTGGGAGGCAGGCACACTTTCTGCCCCATCTGTATTTCCTTAGTAAAACTCCGCCTTAAAACTCCACCCCTGAAATCCCATCCTGCCTCAGTGAGCAGACATTCCTTTTGTGATTGACTAAGTCAGAGGGAGGGGCCTTTACTGTTCCAAGATGGCGGCCCCCAGGGGCACGGCATGCCATGCGGCCAACATGGCGGCTGCCAAGTCAGGCAGCTCAACATTGTGGCGGTCTAAACTGTTCTCTGACAGAAAAGATGATTTCCTCATTCTCACAATAAACAAGGGAAGAGCAAACCAAAACCCCTAAAAGATAGACGGCCAACATTATATTGCAGAACTTTTTAAAATCTTAGGTAGCAAATTAAATACGCTAGCCCAAAACCCTATCCGAAAACGGACGGTGCGCACATTAGTTTTAAGCCAGCTTTTCTCCTAACACGTGCACAGAAGTCCCAGACGCATTTACTTGGGGAGGGGGTGACCTGTTTCCACAGACCCTCACTCAGGCGGCCACCCGACCACCACACAAAGGAGGGGGGAGGGCAATTCCCCTCCCTCCACACTCCCACACTTTCACCAGACATTCATTCAGACTTTAAACAATCCATTCAATTCCTAACAACTTCCCAACTCCTGAGGGAGCTCTAAAGCCTCCCCCAATCTCCTTGAAATGATCAATCACAATACCCAAAGGAGCAGTCTGAGTCCATCCCATAACATCCGTCCAGTACAAACACAGAACACTAAACAGGGCCCGAAAATACAGGCTTCCAAATCCATGGAAGCAACTAGACGTTGGCCTTACGCCAAACCGGCAGGAGCGACCTGCCTCGTCTCAAATCCGCGAGGGGCATATCCATCCCTCGTGAGGGGCATATCCATCCCTCCTGGGGTGAGGGGCATATCCATCCCTCCTGGGGAGCGGAACTTCTTCCAACTCTCCCCTGCCTGTGGTCGTTCACGGCGCGTCCGCCTAGACCCCTCAGGCAATTACAGATTCCAGAAACGAGCTCACACTGAACAGAACATACAACGACACACACATACCGCGGTCAGTCAGACTCTTCGGATCGGGGGTCCCTCGATGGTCTTGGGAATCCCAGACGAGCCCCCAAATGTTGTGCCCAGATTTCATGATTCCCAAGAACCCACAGGGAGCCAGCGAGTCCGATGCAAAAGCAAAGAGTCATTCATTTCAAACCTAGGTTTGGCTCCCCTGCCACACTCACCGATGCAACGGTAAGCTCCAGTGGCCGAGAGAGAGAACTCTGTGTGGAGAGAGGTTTTATAGGGGTTTGGGGTAAGGGGAGGAGAAAGGACTGTGGGCCCTGCTGATTGGCCAGGCGTGAGTACACAGGATGTGGTCATAGTGATGGCGTGCACTTCCCTTGACTATCTTCCGGGAAGAAGCTTGCTGAGCACATGGCCAAGTTAAGATGAAGGGCATAGCCCTTACCCTAGGGCAAGGTGGAGGGCGTACTCCTCGCCCTTTCACATATCAGATATTTACATTATGATTCATAACATTAGCAACATTATAGTTATGAAGTAGCAACGAAAATAATTTTATGGTTGGGTCACAACATGAGGAACTGTATTTAAAGGGCCAGAAGGTTGAGAACCACTGCTCTATGGAAACAAAAGAAAAACAATGGTTAATGACTAAAGCAGACACTCATCCCAGTTTCTAAGTTCTGAAGGCAGGAAGTTAAGATTTCTACATGTCTGTCTCAAAGCATCTTCAGATGGCGTGAAGGCAGGTAGTGACAGTCTGATAGATTCTCCGGTTCTGTAGTTGGAATGCTTCTGGTATTTTTCTGCAACAGGCATGAAAATTGTCTATATGTTGGTGGCAAAATGGCACCAGGTGTTAGACTGGTGGAGTCAGACTGGACCTCAGTTTAGCAACCTCAATACTTGAATTCTGGCTAAGAAAAAATGCAGAACCAACTCACACTATAAGAGAAAGTTTATTTAGAAAGTTACAACTTGTTAACGTAAAGAAACCATTGAAACCTGTAAAGAATTTTTGTCAGTTTATTTGAGCCAAACTGTCAACACATGCCGGGAAGCAGAACCTCAACAAGTTGAGATAATGCTCCGGGGAATGGCGGGGTTACATCTGCATTTATACATTGCAATCAAAGGAGAACGTAGGTGGGTTACATGAAACTCATTGGTGATAGATTAAGGAGGAGGGACACATACTTAGGTGGGTGCAGGAACAATTAACATGATAATGAAGGAATTTGTGGTATCTGTCCTGAGGCCCAGC